AAGCTAACGTTACACTGAGTGTGGTGCAGCACCTGTTGAGGACGCGCCACCGTACTCTGGCGCGCATGATTTCAGCTCTAGCCTTGCGGCTGAGCATAATGTTGTTGCCATAGACTGACAAGGACAGCCTGTTAAAAAAAGGGAGCACGAGAGACGATGGCGCTAGATGACCCGCTTGAGGGAGCGGTCATCCGTATGCAGCTGCAGCGTGACAGGCGTTCATGGTCCTCGTCTCCTCGTGCCTTCCATTTCCTTGTTCGCACTGGCCTGCAAGAATCGGGTGCGCGCATCTCGGCCTAGTCTGTATGTGCGCAGAGGCGGTGCTACGCATGAATACTTGCTGACAGGCGACTTGCCTGAAGTGTGCTCCGAGATCATTGGAGCTAATAAAGACAGCAAGATTTTCATTCAGGTGGGGCCACGATTTTTGGCCGACATGCGTTTTCTGCCGCCGCCCGTTCCTCGCTCCAGTCCTTCTCAGGACCTTGATTGCCCGCGCTCGGGCATATTGTTGCAAGTGGCCTCAAATCCAGGCCAGGTGCGACTCTGAAGAATGATGTGGGCGGCCTTCGGCCATATTTCGGAACACGTTGGAGAGCTTTTGGGTGTTCTTGGAGTGGAGAGCTTCTTCTTCTCGGGCTTCTGGGCACAGCGTGGTGCGAGTCTGCTCCCCCTCGAGGCCCTCTTGGGACGGCGTTCTGACCCCGGTCGTTGCACGACGGTGGTACACTCGAGGTGTGAATTCTGCCGTGGCCTCGGGGTGGGCCCTGTGGCTCGCACGTGCTGGTGCCGTTGTCTCGAAGCACTCGAAGCTCTGTCAACAGCTTTGGCCAACGAGTAGAGGGAGTAAGAATGGCTCCCCTTTATTCCCCATGAGCTACCGCTCTAACCCCCGCCTGCACAGACATGAACACGTTTACGGTCAATGTGTGGGCGGAGGGGTAATGAGCGTACGTTGGCCGCATCAGAATGCATGGCAGCCTTTGTGGCCCGCCCGCAGTCCGCCCTGTGCCATGCCGTCCAGGCTCCTTCTCTGCCTGGCCGCTCTTGCCCGTTCAACGTCTCGCGAGAGCTTCGCTTCTTCTTCTCGGGCTTCTGGGCGCAGCGTGGTGCGAGTCTGCTCCCCCTCGAGGCCCTCTTGGGACGGCGTTCTGACCCCGGTCGTTGCACGACGGTGGTACACTCGAGGTGTGCATTCTGCCGTGGCCTCGGGGCGAGCCCTGTGGCTCGCACGTGCTGGTGCCGTTGTCTCGAAGCACTCGAAGCTCTGTCAACAGCTTTGGCCAACGAGTAGAAGGAGTAAGAATGGCCCCCCTTTATTCCCTATGAGCTACCGCTCTATCCCCGCCTGCACACATATATGTTTGTATGTGTGAATTTATGTATGCATGTATGTATGTGTGTATGTATGCATGTGTGTAGGTATGCATGTACGTGCGTACGTACATACGGATGAACGCATGTATGCATGTATTTATGCAGGTAGGTCGGTAGGCTGGTAGATGGGTCGGTAGGTTGGCATGTTGGTATGTATGTAGGTCGGTAGGTACGTACGGATGTATGTACGTACGCATGTACGTATGTACGTACGTATGTATATATGTATGTATGGATGTGTCTATGTTTGGATGTATGTCTGTGTGTGTGCGTATGCAAGGATGTATGTATGTATGACTGTATGTATGTACTTATGCATGTATGCATGCATACATGTATGTATGCTTACATGGATGTTTATGTGCATGCATGCATGCACGCATGCATGCATGCATGTCTGTATGCCGGTACGTCTGTTTTTGTGTACCATGCATTACTAGTTTATGTGAGTTTGCATACACCTATACAAACATACAACCATACACTCATACACCATACACACATGCGTACACATACATGCATACACACATACATACAAACATACATACATACATACACCCATACATACATGCATACATGCATACATCCATACACACGTACATACGTACGTACGTACGTACATACACACATACATACATACATACACATTTACACACACGTATATATATACACACCTACATACTTACTTACGTACGTGCGTACGCACATACATACATGTATCAATCAATCAATCAATCAATCGATCTATCTATCTATCTACCTACCTATCTATACATATATATATATATATATGTATATACATATGAATACTTTATCATACGCACCTCTCCGAGGGAGTAGAGCTCAGAGCCGATTAATTGAAGGCGGCGTTCGCGATTTTTCTGGCCGTTTCGCTAGGGACGTCCTCGAAATTCTGAAAATCGGTGGCACCCCTCACGCAGATCGTGACGTCAGGGTCCAAAAATACATGGGAATTACAACATTCTAACATAAAACCTTCAAAAACACATTGTAATTTCAATGCTTTTGACCCCGATTCTCAGAGAATGGCGATTTCACCTGAGACATCCTCCCAAAATCGAGCCCCGACGTACCTTCTGGTACCCCAGACCCCGCCTCGGAGCCTCTTGGGAGCCTCCTGGAACCTCCTGGGGCCTCCTGGGGCTTTCCGTACTTTCTGGTACCCCAGACCCCGCCTCGGAGCCTCCTGGGGGTCTCCTGGAACATCCTGGGGCCTCCTGCGGCCTCCTGGAGCCTCTTGGGGCCTCCTGGAGCCTCCTGGGGTCTTCTGGGGCCTCCTGAGGCCGCCTGGGGCCTCCTGGGGCCTCCTGGGGCCTCAGAACTACATGCACACACAGAGACACAAATCACACCCAACACATCACACGCTAGACAAACATAACACACACACAACACCTACAACGCACAGAAAACACGCACAACACAGAGCACACATCACACACACACACACTCACAACACACAATCCCGGGGCCTCCTGAAGCCTCTTCCGGTATCCAAGTCGGGCCTCCTGAGGTTTCCTGGGGGGCCCTGGTACACACATCGCAAGGTGTGGCAACCCCACTTGCGCTCGAGTGCGACCTCGATCTTAGATTCTTCTGCGTTCACCTCCTGCCTCTTCCCCTTCTTAGGCACGCCCTGGCGGCGCCGCCCCAGCTTCCCTTTCTCCATCTCCGATCCTGCAGTCATGGTGTCTCCCTGCTTCAAACGTAAATATAGATATCGGAGTGCGGGGGGGGCGGACCGGGGTTCCGGGTTGGCATGGGAACGCTCCCGTTCGAGCGGGGAGCCCCATCCGACAACACGCACCCGTAGCCCTCTCCGACCCCTCTGTGGGTATGGTTGTGTGCGTGCGTTGTTGGCTCGTCAATCGAGACGAGGGCGGGTGGGAGGGGAGGGGAGGACAGCAGGAGAGAAACGCGGCAGGAGCAGAACCTCTGCCAGAGGCCCGCGCGCGTGTGGGCGCTGGGCCCCCCTCGGGCGGCGCCTCTCCGCACGCCGGGGGCGGGGGTGCCCGGGGCCGACCCCCGGCAGATCCACGCAGGCCTCCGGAAGTTTCTACGCGTGCGTGCCGTTTGTTCCTTCGTCGGTCGGGCGTTGCGTGGTGGGGAGGGGGGCGACAAGTCCTCGCCCGTCGCGGCTCCAGAGGCCGCCAGGACCAGCTCAAGACCGCCCAAGTTGCCCCGAGAGCGCTCTCTAAGACGCCCCAAGATCGCGCCATCCAGGGTGCGTAGCCATTGTGGCTCAACGCCACAGCGGCCAGCCATTTTTCTGGCGGGCGGGTGCCGTGTCTGGCTGGGGATGGGCCGGACGCTGCAATGGGCGCGCTCTGTGCTCAAGTCGTCCTACCTGGGCCAGCTCAGGGCGACGTCCAGGTCGGAGGTCCGCGCGACGAGGGGCACGAGGTGCAAGTACGATCACAATGACGAGGCTTCCACCACAACCAGCTTCAGCGACTCGAGCGGCCGGACACTCAGCGAGTTCGACGTTGTGTGCTGTGCGAGCAGCGGTTCTTCGGTCGACGATGACATGCCGGGCGTGCCAGAGCTGCCAGACAGCCCGCTCGCCTCGGAGAGGGCCGACCCGTTCACGCGCCAGTCTGCGCTTCCCTCGGGGAGCGAGCGATGGACGATGAGCGATTTCGAGGTGGTGAGGGCTCTCGGCGAGGGCTCCATGGGGTCCGTTCGCTTGGTCAAGCTTGCCAATGCAAGGGATGAGGCCACGTTTGCGCTGAAGGTGATCGACAAGAGTCGCATCATCAGGGAAAACCAGGAGGAACGCGTGATGCAAGAGAAGCAGCTCCTCGGGCTTGTCAGCCATCCGTTCGTCGTCAAGATGATGGGCGCGTTCCAGGACGATGCGCACCTCTTTATGCTTATGGAGTTCGTGGGCGGTGGAGAGCTGTTCTCGGCCATCAGGAGCTCGAAGTTTGACGATTCGTGTGCGCACTTCTTCGCTGCCGAGATCACGCTTGCGTTGAGCCATATTCACAGCTTGGACATCGCTTATCGTGATCTTAAGCCGGAGAACGTGGTTATTGACCAACTGGGCCACGCGAAGATCATCGATTTCGGTTTAGCTAAGGTGGTCCAAACAACAACGTATACAGTCTGCGGGACTGTGGAGTACATGGCGCCAGAAGTCTTGTCCCAAATCGGCCACGGCAAGTGCGTGGACTGGTGGGCGCTCGGCATCCTCGTCTTCGAGATGCTCTCGTTCGGGACTCCCTTCGTGGGACGCTCCGCCAGGGAGACCCGCAAGAACGTGCTCGACCGCGACCCGCGGTGCCCCCCGTACTTCGGGAGCGTGACCAAGAGCTTCGTCTACCTGCTCCTGATCAAGGACCCGACGCTGCGCCTGGGCGGCGGCGCGGACGGGAGCCGGCGCGTCCGGGGCCACGCGTGGTTCTCCTCCGTGGAGTGGGGCGACCTCCTCCAGCAGCGGTGCGCCTCGCCCTTCCCGCCGAGCGCCCGCGGCGCCCCGTGCGACGGGATGACGGCGACACCGAAACGCGCGATCAGTTGACGCGTTCTCCGGCTCGCCACCTGAGAATTGCTTAAATGGGCACGCAGACCGCTGTGGCTGCGCGCGGGCCTGGGGCGCGATGAGAACCCTGAGCAAAATATGTCGCAGGCCTAGAGGTTGACACCAACACCAGTATCGGCGGTGTGCCTCCACCAGGGAAAGAAGAACACGATCTCGGTGATGGTGGCAACACTCTGGCTTCCAAGGTGACCGAAACATTGCCACCAACACCGAACTCTAGGATCATCTCCCCCCTGTGGAGGCAGCCCCTGGGTCCGACAACCCCCAGGGTCCGACAACCCGCACCCATACCCATAGCCAGTCCTCCTCCCTCCGACCCCCCTATGGGTATGGGTACGTGCTGTTCGTTCGTCACCCGTGGAGGCAGCCCCCCTGTGTTGGTGCTGGTGCCAATTTCTAGGCCCCCACAGATGCTGCGCCCCAGCGCCCGGCGGCGCCCCGTCGGGCCGGAGGCGGCCGGCGCCCCCGCCGCGGGCGGGCGGCCTGGAGGGCCACAGCTCGGGCAAGGAGGGGGAGCGTCGAGCGGGAGGTCCCCGGGCCAGGTCCCCCGCCTTTCTGTCGAGGAAGCAAGAGGCCACGTGAACATAAACTTTTGGCGCTCCGCGCGGGTTTCTTGGGATCCGCACTGGCCCCCCCCCGGGCGCCGCCACTGGCGCGCTCTGCGCGCCAGGGAGGGGGGTCCGGCGCGGATCCAAGAAGTCCGCGCGGAGCACCAAGAGTTTACGTTTACGTGTCTTTTTCTTCTTCCACTGTCCCTGTGCCAGGTCCCCCGCCTTTCTAGAGAGCTGCGCGCGGTCGTCGGTGCAACTCTGGAGGCGTTAGGCGCGTCGCCCGTGGCGGCCAGCTGATCCCGAACAGACATTGCAGATTGGATTGGCCTGGCGAAGGACCCAACCATATGCAGCTGTGAGTTCGTCTTCGATGGAGCTCCTATGGGCCCACGAACGGTGTACTGGGCGGGGGAACCGCGTGCGGACACCGCCACTGAGGCCTTCGCTGGAACTCCCGATGGGGTCACGAAGTGCCTTATTGGGTGGGGGAACCGCATGTGGACACCGCCACTGAGGCCTTCGATGGAGCTCCCTATTGTGCCACGAAGCGCTATATTGGGTGCGGGAAACGCATGCGGACACCGCCACTGAGGCCTTCGCTGGAGCTCCCCATGGGGTCACGAAGCGCTATACTGGGTGGGGGAACCGCATGCGGACACCGCCACAGAGACCTTCGATGGAGCTCCCTATGGGGCCTCGAACCTTTGTAATGGGCGGGGGACAGCATGCGGACACCGCCACTGGAGCCTTCGGTCGAGCTCCCTGATGGGCCACGAAACGCTGTACTGGGTGGGGAACCGCATGCGGACACCGCCACTGAGGCCTTCGCTGCAGCTCCCTATGGGGCCACCCAGCGCTGTACTGGGTGGGGGAGCCGCATGCGGACACTGCCACTGGGGCCTTCGGTCGAGCTCTGGGGGAACTGCATGCGAACACTGCCACTGGGGCCTTCGCTTGGGAGGCAGAGGCATGGATGGGAGGGAGGGGGAGGAGGAGGAGGAGGAGGAGAAGGAGGAGGAGGAGGAGGAGGAGGAGGAGGAGGAGGAGGAGGAGGAGGAGGAGGAGGAGCAGGAGCAGGAGCAGGAGCAGGAGCAGGAGCAGGAGCAGGGGCAGGAGGAGAGGAAGGACGGAAGGAAGGAGGGAAGGAGGGAGGGATCGCGGGGCGCCGCCTCTTCAAAACGAGGGCCCAGCACCACGGCAGGGCCCGTCAGGCAGCAGCAGACGCCAGAGCGGGCACGCGCCTCCCGGGCGCTCCGCGCCCCGACCCTCGAGAGACCTGGACCCCCCCCTTGGCCCTGGCATCGCTCGGACGTGTGCATTGTTCCTTCGGCGAGGACCACCGAGGAGCATCCCTGATCATTTGGCGAAAAAAAGCCACGCACGAAACCCAAAAAAAAAACACACAGGGAATGGACGCCCGAGCGATGGCGAGTGGCGCACTCCAGGGGGAACGCGGTGGTAACCTCCTCCTCCTCCTCCTCCTCCTTCTCCTCCTCCTCCTGGCAAGTCCTCCTCCTCCTCCTCCTTCTCCTCCTCCTCATCCTCCCTCCTCCTCCTCCTCCTCCTCCTCCTCCTCCTCCTCCTGGCAAGTCCTCCTCCTCCTCCTCCTCCTCCTCCTCCTCCTCCAGACTGGACTCCCTGGTGGCGCTGGTGGTGGTGGTGGCGTGGTGGCTTTGTGGCGGTGGGTGTTGGCTTGTGCTGGTGGGCTGCGGCAGGGAAGCGGGCCCTCTCTCCGCTCCCGGGAGGCGCGTGCTCCTCTCGCCGCCGGCGCGCCTCTCGCCCGCCCCCGTCGGCCGGCCAGGCAGCGCGCCGGCCGCCGTGCCGTCCACCGCAACGCAACGGGCGGCCCGCCCGAGCTGCCGAGCGAGCCTCACGCACCTAGGGCGACGAGATCCATGCATATCCACTGCTCCTGGCCAGGCCCATCCTGGGCCCAGGAGCGGTGTATATGCCTCCCTGGCCAAGCCAGGAGGGCGTATGCACAGCTCTTGGGCCCAGGATTGGCCTGGCCGGGAGCAGTGGATATGTATAGATATCGTCGCCCTAGCACCCACACTGATGTTGCTCCCATCGTGCTTGAGGACCACATCCTCCCAGAAACAATCCCGAGCACCCAGGAAAGTATCGAAACGGTGTCGAACGAGCGTCGCCTCCCAGGGCCCGGCACGTGAGAATTCAAATTTCGGTACTGTCTTGGTGCTCGAAATTCTTTCTGGTCATCAAGGCCAAAGTACATTGGAACATCATAAACCCACTCGTAGGTCGGGCCCGTTCCTCTGCAGGAGGAAACTTCAGAAATAGCCCCCCAAAAATCGTCGGGGGACGATTTTGTTGACCAGAAGCCACTTCATGGAATATTTGTTTGGCTATTTGCCATTTTTCGTCCAAAGACCGCCTGTAGGGGGACACGCTCCACCGAAGCCCACACCCACGGGGGGGGGGGGGGGGACCGCCAGGGCCACGGGCGCGTGCTGTCGGAGGGGGGGGGCCCGCTCGAGCGGGAGCCTCCCCCGAGGTCTCGTGGCGCCAGCGTCGCAGAGCGCATGGTTCATTCGGAAGGCAAGGGGGTGGGCCCGGAGTGTCCTGGAGCATCTCGTTCGGGCTTTCGAGGTGAATCTCGTGCGGATCTTGTCTGGCCAGGGATGAAGACCAAAAAAGAATCCACGCGAAATGCACTCCGTTTTTCGCTCGCCGTTTTGGGCAACAGTCCACGCAGAAATCCACGCAGAAATCCGCTACAGCACGTCTGCAAGGCCGGTGCAATGAGAGGTCCGACAACCCGCACCCATACCCATAGCCAGTCCTCCTCCCTCCGACCCCACTGCGGGTATGCGTGTGTTGTTGTTTCGTCACGGACGGGGATGCCTGGACCTCCAATCCGATGGCTCGCCAGGGCGCCAGCACGCTTGCAGCCGTTTCCAGGCCTTCACTAGCAAAAGTGCGAAAGGAGGGTGATAGGCCGCGAGGTAGGGCAGGCTGCTGCTCAACGCCCATCTCTCCTTCACAGGGAGCGAATCGGGGACGGGGTCCCCTCCAAGCCCGATGCTCGTATGCGTGGTTCGTGCGCCAGCACGCCTGCCGCATCTAGTTCTGCTGTTTTTGCCAGCAGCACTTTCTGGGATGGAGTCCCGGAATTTGTGCAGCTGGCTGCTGGCTTTTTGTCGCGTCAGTGCTGCTGGCCCTTTGCCAGCTGGATTTGCCGCGTCCAGTGCTGCTGGCTTTAGCTAGCTTTTGCCAGCAGCACTTGCTTTGGCGCACGCCCAGCCCCGTTCCTTCACGCCGCTGGACTGCTCGCGGCTGGCAGGGTTGCAAGCTGCGCTTTGCCTGTTGCAGCGTAGGGCCGTTTTTTTTCGCCGTCGCGCCTGGGACGTCCTGGCCATCGCTGCTCCCATGCAGTTTTGCGTCGAGATCTGGAGAGGTTGCTGGGTGCGGTCGGGTCGCCCGAGGGAGGGAAGTGGCTGGCGGACACGCCCAGGTAGTTTGTGTTCGTGGCGCCGGCTCACCGCAGCCTTTCTCAGCCGCCTTCTCGGTAGACCGCGCAGCGGCAGTCTGGGGCCCCCCGCCGTCGCGGCGCCAGTGCGCAGAGGCACGGGTCGCGAGGCGCCGGACGTGCCTGCCTTCTAAGGGGCAACTCCTGGGCCTGTTCCTGCTCAATTCTTGACGCGTCGTGCATCCTCGCCAGCCCATCCAGAAACAGATCGCCAGGCAAGTTGCCTTGGTCAGGGAAGTGTAGACGCATGCAGTGCAACAACCGCCTTGGAAGTGCTTTCTCGGAGGTCTCTTGGGGCCATCTTGGGTCTTTCTTGGGGTCCTCGCGGAGCCACTTGGGGCAGTCTTGGGGCCCTCTTGGGGGCTCTTTTCAGGGGTCTAGGGGCCCTCTTGGGGATCTTTGGGTGGGTCTGGGAGGCCTCTTGAGGCGATTTTGGGCACACTGTTCACAAAGAGGGGGGGTCCTCAATTCCCCCCCCTTCCCTTCGGAGACTTAAAAATGGCTTCATGGGGCCGTCTGGCGCTATAGGGGCGCTCTTGGGGCGCTCTTGGGGCCCTCTCGGGCTCGTCTCGGGGCTCTCTTTGCCGTCTTGGGGCCATCGTAAGGCCTCAAGAGCCCATCGGAAGCGAAAAGGCGAGAAGGCAAAACATTTTGATAATTTTACGGTTTTGGAGCCATGTTGGCCTCTTGGGGAGGTCCTCGGAGGGCTCGGAGGGCATTTGAAATAGTCATTAGGGCTGTTTCGAAGCCTCTAGGATGTTTGTCGGAGGCAATGCTGAGTAATTTTGACATATTTTGAGCCATCTTGAAGGCTATCGTGGGCTCTCTGAGACCCTCTTGGAGCCATCTTGGGCCATCTTGCACGCTCCCCTCCCAGGCCCTGCGGAGGGGGTAGGGGGTGGGGTCAAGACTCCATCCCCGCCCGCAAGCTGTCTCGCTCACTCCCACCCGCCCTCCCAACACATACGTAGCACCCGAGCCTGGCCCGAGCCGCAGCATATTCAGCAGTCGTCTTTGGGTGGGCAGCTACTGGGGGCGAATCCGCCGCCGCCGCCGTCCGCCGCCGTCCGCCGCCGCCGCCGCCGCCGCCGCGCCGCCCCGCCGCCGCCGCCGCCGCCGCCGTCGCCCCCTCTGCCGAATCGCCGCCGCCGCAGCCGCTGCTGCCGCAGCCGCTGCCGCCAGCCCGCGCCGCCACCGCGCCGCCGCCGCCGCCCGCCACGCCGCCGCCGCCGCCGCCGCCCCGCCGCCGCCGCCACCGCCGCCGCCGCCGCAGCCGCTGCCCCCGCCGCAGCCGCCGCAGCCGCAGCCGCCGCCAAGTGTACTCTGTATTTTTTTGACAGGGATGGTGGAGGGAGAGTGTGTGTTTGTATTGTTTTTACAAGGGGTGGTGGGTGGGTGGGTGCCCTCATTGTCCCTGGTTGGCTCCCAGTCGCCTGGGGAGGGGGTGTATATTAATTGGGAACAGTGATCAAGATCCCCCCTAGATAGCACGCCGTTTGGCTCACTCCCACCCGCCCTCCCAACACATAAATAACACCCGAGCCTCAACATGTTCAGCGGTCGTCTGTGGATGGACAGTTATTTGGAACCAGAACCGACCCCATGTGCGCGACGCTGGGGTGAGGTGCGCCACGCATGCCAGGCGCGCCACGCGCGCCAGGCACCCCTGGGGCCCGAGCGTGCCAGGCACGCCTGGTGCGCCAGATGCGCAGCATATTCCAGCCGCGTCAGGTGCACCACGTTCGAGGCATGTGCAGAGTGTGTCGGGTGCGCCTGCATACGTGACAGCACACATCGGGAAACATGTCGGCCTCCACCATCCTTGTCGAAAAGCAATGCCCATCATTGTGTTTGGTGGGCTTGAGCGCAGCAGGCCATACGCCACCGCCCCCGCCGTCCCTGTCAAAAACCACTTCGCAGTGATCGCGTGGCGGCCGCGCATGATCCAGATTTAGCCGCGAGTTGCATGTTTTATGGTTTTTTGTAAGGGATGGTAGCCCTTCGCGCAGCTGGCAATATGCTGACACTCCCGCCGTTCCAGTCAAAAACAATACAAGGTGCTCGCGGGCCTCACGAACATGACTCAAGACTTTGCCCCAACGTGTGCTCTGTATGGTTTTTTTGGACAAGGATGGTGGGGGGGGGCCGCATCGGGTTGGCCGCGCATGCTCCAAATGTGGTGCGTGTCGTATTTTTGACAAGGATGGTGGGGGTGGGTTCGCATGGTGTCCTCATGGTTCCGGGTTAGCTGCTGGTCGCCTGGGGGAGGGGGTGTATATTAATAGGGAACACTGATAAACCCCCTCCCCCGAACAGGGGAAAGAGGGTTTTGGCAGAGAGAAGACAAACCTCGTTCGACCACCTACGCCCAGAGGGCTGGTGGGACTCAAGAGCATCATCCCCGCGAAGCGAAGGTAACAAACAACTCACGGAGACATCCCAGGAGTGGCCTCCTAGGTTTCCACAGTTTGTGTAGCTCGGAAAAGATGGTGCCTTTTTCGGCCTGGCCGGCTCGCCGCGGGCCTTTCTTGGCCGCTCCGTTCTGGGGCGCCATGCGCGCGGCAGTCCGGGCCGGCCAGCGCGCCTGGGTCGCCTGAGTCTTCGAGGGCGATCTGCACGCCTATCGGGGGTGGGTCGCTGCAGTCTTGAGCTGCGACGATCCACTGATCAGCATGTTTTCCTCCCTGCCTGCGGTTCCAGACGCGGGCTTGGCTGCTGAATTCGGAGGGCGACGTGGTGCACCCTCGTCGCCCCTTATATTGCAGGCCAGGCGGCCCCTTGCTGGGCCACTCCTCCTCCTCCTCCTCCTCCTCCTCCTCCTCCTCCTCCTCCTCGCCCTGGCGCGGGCCCGACTGCCGAATTCGGTGTCGGCGACGTGCTGCGCCCTCGCCGCCAACTGCTCTCACGGCCCGCGTGGAAGGAGGCCAACACGTGGAGGAGGAGGAGGAGGAGGAGGAGGAGGAGGAGGAGGAGGAGGAGGAGGAGGAGGAGGAGGAGGAGGGAGGAGGAGGAGGGAGGAGGAGGAGGGAGGAGGAGGAGGGAGGAGGAGGAGGGAGGCCAGGCTGCCCTTGCTGGGCCAGTCCTGGCGCGGGCCCGACTGCCGAATTCGGCGTCGGCGACGTGCTGCGCCCTCGCCGCCAGCTGTTCTCACGGCCCGCGTGGAAGGAGGCCAACACGTGGTGTGCCGCCTCTTCGAGAGTCGAAGATGATTGGCCTGTTTTCCACCACCACCACCATAAGTTGGAGGGGGAGGGGGTCCTCCTCCTCCTCCTCTTCGTCCTCCTTCTCCTCGTCCTCCTCCTCCTCCCCCCTCCAACTTATGGTGGTGGTGGTGGAAAACACGCCCATCAGAAGATGCCTGGAGGTAACCTTTTGGAGGCTGGTCCCTTGGGCCGCATCGGGGCGGGAAGCCCGTTGCGTCAGCCCCCCCCCCCGGGCCCCTCCTGTGCATGCTGGAGCCCTCACACTGCAGGCCCAGCTTTTGCGGGCCTCGCCGGCCTGCACGGCCGGCACGCTCAGGCCTGCCCTATTCGCACGGCCGGCACGCTCCTCTGCACGGGTGGGTCTCCGGCGGTCCCTGAGGGACCTTGGCCGAGCTCATCCGATGGCTCTCCTCGGCGCCTTCTCTTTTCCGCCGCCTCTCCCTCTCTCTCTCTCACTCTTCTCTTTCTCTCCCGACGATCCCTGCTTCAGGTGGCGCACCTAGAGAGAGAGAGAGAGAGAGAGAGAGAGCATGCTATCATCGCTGCCTGTGCCACCTCCTAGTTTCCTCAGTCTGCGCGCTAGCATTTTAAGGTGGGCAGAACTGTGGGCATGTTTGTTTTTCGTTGTGCTCGCCCGTGTCCGCTGCAAATTGTTGCTCGCGCTTCCTTCTCATTATCTCTTATTCCCTCTCCTACCTCCGGGTCCGCCGTTGTGTGATTTACATTCTACAAGTGGCCAGTTGGGTCGCAGGGGATCGTCGCACAGCGTCATTGCCCGTCTTCATCATCTTCCTCCGTCGACGCTATGGTATTGCGAGCTCTGATTCTCCGGCGTAGTTCGGTAGAGTACCTCAGTGGAGTGTTCGCGGCAGGAAAAAAGATGGCGCCAACAAGGGCCAAGAGGCCCCCAAGACTCCCCAAGAGTGCTCCCAGAGGCTCCACCAGAGGGCCCCAGGAGGCAAAATCACCAAACTCCTGCTGGAAAGCGTGTGTGTAATATATATATATATATACATATATGTATATATATATATATGTATATGTATATGTATATATATATAGTCAGACTATTTGCTTCCCCAGTTGTTGACAGCGTCCAAGAGGCGCCTCAGGAGGTTCCACTACCGCTTCCGAGGCCCCAGACACGGCCCAAGAGGGCCCCAAGGCAGTCCGAGGGAGGCCCAACAGGGCTCTAACAGGGTGCCAGGACGGGTCGTGGGGCACTCTCTTGGGGAGGTGGGGGGGGGGGCGGCGGCTCCCAACGTGCCCCCGTCACGCCTGGGGGGCGCCACTGCAAGCCGATGCTCGTCACGTCATCTTTGCATGTTGGGGTATGGTGGTAAGAGCATGCTGGTCGCCTGACCCGTAGTGACAGAGGTACTCTCCGTGGCCCTGGTGCTCCTCCTTGCTGCGCCTGCTCCTCCTCGAGCGACTCTGGGCTCGATGCGGCCAGGGAGCCCCTGATCCCTGTCATTTCCTGCCCCCGGTCACCCCCCAGAAGCCTCCGGGACGCTCCCAAGAGGACCCCCAAAGGCCGCCGCGGGCCCCGCTCCGGCGACCGCGGCCCTCCGCGCCCGGCGCCGCTCGCGTGCGTCTGGCGCCCTCTTTTTGGCTGCCCTCCGCCGCTTGCCCCAGGCCGGCAGCGAACGGCCCCGAGGACGGGAGGGAGGGAGGGAGGGGACGACGCGTCAGTCGGGCCTGTCCCTCTAATTACAGGAGGAAGATCCAAAAATAGGCACCAAGATAGTCAGGGGACCAGTTGTTTGTTAAGACTATGTTTGAGCATTTTGTTTGGGTATTTTTTGACTATCTCTGATCTTCGTCCAAAATCCGCCTGCAGGGGGACGGGCCCGACCTGAGACGACGCCGCCCGCGGTCGGCCTGCTGCCAAGGGCAACCACCGCCGGCGCTCGCCGCTTTTCCCCTCGGTGTCTCCCCCCAACATTAAAATACGAAGTGTGCGTCGCCCCCCCCCCGGCAAGGGGGGCGACGCGCGCACCGAGAAACAAATCTTACAGTCTATGCGTGGTGGCGGGCGCTTTCTCTGGCCACACCGCTCGGGAAACGATACATACTGCAATATTGGTCTACTATGTTCCTCCAAGGAGAGCGTACAGTACTAGTATATACATGTGTCTATTGCAAGTTGTTGGCACATCCAGGGGATCACACGGTCAGCTCAATGTTTGTTCTGCTTCAGTTTTGCGCGGTTCGATATCACGGCCACGGGAATGTGGCACATCACCATGCGGCAAAACGTGTTCGGAATAATGCTCAACGACTTTATCATGGCTCCCCTCGAAGTGGTTGTGCTCCTTCGATATGACACCGCATTTGCGCCAGAACGGGCCCAATGAGTCCGTTCTTTGATCGGGCTTGTTTTGTATTTGTGCATGTGTCGTGGGTTATGTTCCTAGAGTGGCCCCGTGTGACAAGAGGTCAGGTAAGAATGAGCACATGCGTAAACATGAACTTTGGGAGGTCCGTGAGGACTTCCGAAGGTGTATGTATGTATGCATGTATGTATGTTTGTGTATGTATGTATGTATGTATGTATGTATGTATGTATGCATGCATGCATGCATGCATGTATGTATGTATGTATGTATGTATATATATATATATATATATGTATGTACGTATGTATGTATGTGTGTATGTATGTGCGTATGTATGTATGTATGCATGTATGTGTGTGTATGCATGCATGCATGCATGCATGTATGTATGTATGTATGTATGTATGCATGTATGTATGTATGTATGTATGTATGTATGTATGTATGTATGTATGTGTGTGTGTATGTATATGTGTAGATGTGTATGTGTGTATGTATGTATGTATGTATGTATGTATGCATGTATGTATGTATGTATGTATGCATGCATGCATGCATGTATGTATGTATGTATGTATGTATGTAGGTAGGTAGGTAGGTAGGTAGGTAGGTATGTATGTACGTACGTACGTACGTATGTATGTATGTATGTATGTATATATGTATATATATATATATATGTCTGCATGTATGTATGTATGTATCTATGTATGTATGTATGTATGTATGTATGTATGTATGTATATATATATATATATATATATATGTATGTATGTATGTCGGTACGTATGTATGAATGCATGTATGCATGCATGTATGTATGCATGCAGGTATGTATGTGTGTATGTATGTATGCATGTATGTCCTCCTCGTCCTCCTCCTCTTCCTGGGCCTCCTCCTCCTCCTCCTCCTCCTCGTCCCGCTCCCCTTTCCCCCCGCTGCGCTCGCGCCGCCGCTGCATGCGGTCCTTGTTCTGCGCGGCCGGCTGCTCCCGGAGGACCCCGCGGGCCGGGCCACGATGCGGGCTGCCGCGCGGGAGATCGAGCGGGTGGCGTGGGAGAACGCCCGCAGGGAGGCGCCGCGCGCGCGAAGGGGGGGGGTGGGGGCTCCAGAGCTGCCGCGGTGGGCCGCACGGGTCGCCGAGGTGTTCGGGGGTGGACAGACCTCCTACCCTGACACGTCGATTACAGTGGGCGGCTTGAATAAGGAACACTCACTTTTCAAGAGGGGCTCGGTCGTTCCTCAGGTTTGCACGTGTTGTTTACGGTTCCTGATGCGTTATTTGTTATTTATCGTTCCTCTATGCGTATTCCTTGGGATAAAAAAAGGGGCTTCGTTCCTTATTTAGGGTTCCTTAGGTCAAGGCCCCGACTGTAAGGAGTTGGCCGTTTTCGGTTCGCGAGAGGGCGTCGCGGCCGTCATTTTTGCGGGTTCAGGTCCGTCGGTTTCGGTCCCAGGCCTTTTTTACTAAAGGGAGGTTTACTAAAGGGAGGTTTGTCCACTGCCCAGATGTGTGCTCGCCCCCCTCCAGCTCCAGAGGTGGGCGAAACGGAGGTTCGAGGGTCGAGATTGCGAAAAGGCCTTACGGCGGGTGCCGCCGACCCTGCAGGGGACGACGACGTCGACAACGACGACGGCGAAAACGACGACGACGACGACGACGACGGCGACGGCGACGGCGACGGCGAGGACGACGGAGGCGATGACGACGACGATGACGACGCTGACGCTCTGGAGCCGAAAGCTTCTCCCAGGGTGGGGTGCTCCCCCCCTTAGGGGTCACAACCCCAGGACCTCCGAAGGCGGACGAAGGGGATGTGCAAATATAGAGGTATATCTACACGTGTGTATATACACATATATATGTGAACGTACAGATCTAGTCGTGCATCTCTCTCTCTCTCTCTCTCTCTTTCTTTCTTTCTTTCTTTCTTTCTTTCTTTCTCTCTCTCTCTATATATATATATGTATGTGTATATATATACAGATATAGTCGCCCCCCGTGTGGCCAACATGTGCCATGTCCACCGCCCGCTGGGGTCGGTCCCAGGACGTCGGCTCCCCGGGCGGTGGATGTGGACAGATTCCCGCCTCGCAGCGACGCCGGTCGGGGTCGGCCCTGGTGGCCAGGCCCTCACGGCCTGCGTGCCTCGGGACGCGCCCTCCCGCCGGCCGCGTGCGCGGCGAGCCCTCGAGGTCCGCGAGCGACTCGAGTGCATCGCGTCGAGGCTCCACGCGACGCTCGCGCTCGCCCTGCACTCCAGGAACCTGCACCCCGACGCGCACGCGCAGACTCTCACGGCCGCAGTGTGGCTCCCTCGCCCCCTTTTTTTTCAGATGCAGCGTAGCTGAATACGCACCCCTGATACCTCCGCCCCAACACAGGAGGATATCTCCACGACGCATATACAATCATAAGAGTTCTCCGTGGCAGGTCTCAGGCGGGAGCCCTCTCCTCCTGTGGCTCCCTCGCCCCCCCCTCGCCTCCCGGGCCGCCTCGCGCCTCCTCGCGGTGTCGCTTCCTCGTGCCCCGCCGGTGCTTCGGCGCGCCCCGCCGCTGCCCGACCGCCGTCTGACCCTCTCGCGGCCGCCGACTCAAACAAAAGTGAACCGTGCCGCGACGGCGTCTCCCGAGGCGTCGTCGCCCCACGACCTGGGAGGGCCAAGACTACTCCAGATTTCGTAGTAAAGGGAGGGGGGTCTCATTTCGGGGGGGGGGGTCTCTTCCAGGCTATAGGGCCTGGGGGGTCTGGGGACGATGTTTTGGAGGGTTCTCCCACGGGGGAGGTCTGAAATGGCTTGTCTTGGAGGGTCCAGACCCCCTCCCTTTTATTACGAAATCTGGAGTACCTGCTTCCAGGGGACCAATATCTGGGGCCTGTGCCAAACACCGTTCTCTTGCTGGCAACAACTAGCGTCTCTGGGCACATTGGGTGTCAGTATGTACGTTGACGCATGCGGGGTGGGGCCGTTGCGTTCGGCGCAGTACACGGTCGGAGAGAGGGTCGATCTGATCTCGGCCAGAAGTGGTACGGTGTGTAGTTTTGCGCCCCTCAGAGCCGACAGTCTATCACCGCACCGCTTTGGGGCGGGGCTTGAGGGGAATGCAGACATGGTGCGGTGCATGGCCGCCGCTTGTGTGAGATCCCCGATGGGCGCGCGAAAATTCGAGCAGTCGGGTGCGCGGTTATGCGTGCGCCACGGCACTGTAGTTGTGTCTGGGCGACCTGCCCGCTCGCGCGCCTGATGGGCACAAGTGGTATGGCACTGCTGCCTGTTGGCCTTCTTAATTGCAGCTTTTGATTTGCAGGCGGTCGGCCGCATACTACGTAGGAGCGCAGCAGCGCCCAGGAGGCCAAACAGAACTTGAGACGCGAAGGCGGGAGGCTAGATCCTGAGCGCCGTCAGCGACATCATGCGAACACCAGCGCGTCGGACAGAAGTGCATATTAGGTTGTCGGCGGAGGCGAAGCGAACTCTGCAGCATCAGTGCCCCCCGTCACGACGAGCTGGCAAGGGACCGGATCCATCGTTGGGACTCACATCCGTGATGGTACCAGTGTGCGAGTAGATTTGGTGCATTTCTCTACCTTCACAGGTTTCGGTCTTTTTTCATCTGAAAGAGGTACGTTTCTCAGTACTTGGGGTTCGTTTTCCTTATCACGTTCGCAATTTCATCGTCAGCTCCAACGCTGCGCCGATAGTCGTATTGGCGTCAAGGGGCACGTTGGCAAAACGACATGGGACCTCTTCTCGATTTTGCCGTCACGGAGCCCCAGCACTGAAGGCTACGTTGCCCCTGACCCCCCGTGCCCCCCGGCCACCCTTGCAAATCGAATTGCGCTGCCTCTGGGTGGTGGCTCCAGCGGAGCTCCTGGCAGTTTGCGTAGGGCCGCGCGTAATGGGGGGGTGATGATTGGGGGGGCAGCGAGAGCTGCAGAAAAGGAGCCCTGATGGGCCCCAAATGAAGCCTTCAGGGCCCGAAAAGGGCACCTTTCTCCCCCCTCCCCGCGTATCGCCCCCAATTCATTCGCGCCAGATTGCTTTGCCTCCAGGCGTTTTCCATTTGCCCTCGGACGAGCCCCCTTCTTTGCCCTTGGCCCCCGCGGCCCCTGCAGGCGCTGCGGCGCTGCCTCGACGGCGCGGCGCCGCTCGAGGAGCTGCGGAGGCAGGTGCTGCAGTCCCTGCTCGTACTGCAGGGCCTCCACCCCGTTGCGTGCCTATGCGCCGCGCCGCGCCCGCCGTGGGTGCGAGAGGGAGGAGGTACCCGTCGGACCGAGGTGGAAGATCGAGGTCGGTTCGGGGAAGGTGCCCTCGGGTTCTTCGTGCTTGTTGGATGTCCTTGTGCACCCTGGGGGAGGGTACCCTTGGATGTTCAGTGCGTTTTGGCAGACGGAGGGTCTCATGTTCTCGATGGGTGTTCTTCTGGCCTTGGTCCGACTGTATCGATGCCATTGCTCTTCGGGGAGTCGGGTGTGTTTTAATGGGAGCCTCGACATTCACCGGGAATTTTGTTATTTGGCGTCGAGCTGTCACTAGCGACTAGCGGCGAGGAGGTACTTCAGAGGAGGCGATTGATCCATGACCACCGCCTGGGGTGTCGATCTTCGCGGACCTCCACGCGCAGGAGGCGGAGGATGAAATGGAGCAACAGGAGGAGGAGGAGGAGGAGGAGGAGGAGGAGGAGGAGGACGCGGAGGAGGAGTAGGAGGAGGAGGAGGAGAGGAGGAGGAGGAGGAGGAGGAGGAGGAGGAGAGGAAGAGAAGAGGAGGAGAGGAGGAGAGAGGGAGGAGGAGGAGGAGGAGGAGGGAGGAGGAGGAGGAGGAGGAGGAAGAGGAAGATGAGGAGGAGGGGGAGGAGGAGGGAGGAGGAGGAGGAGAGGAGGAGGAGGAGAGGAAGGAGGAGGAGGGAGGAGGAGGAGGAGGAGGAGAGGAGGAGGAGGGAGGAGGAGGAGGAGGAGGAGGAGAGAGGAGGAGGAGGGGGAGGTGGGGGAGGAGGAGGAGGGAGGAGGAGGAGGTTGAGGAGGAGGCGGCGGAGGTGGAGGAGTAGGAGGAGAGGGAGGAGGAGGCGGAGGAGGTGGAGGAGAAGGAGGAGGAGGAGGAGGAGGATCGCACGCCACTGAGTGGAAAGGGGGGAGAGAAAGTCAGACGGTCCAAAAAGCAAACCCAGGGGGGCCCATCCGAGGGGATTTTTTTTTGCCACCCCGGCAGGACAGCCGAAGACCTGCCAGGGGCCAGCGACAGGCCCCCCCCCCCCTGGGTATCTAGCCGCCAAGTTCCTCTTCCAGATCGGTGTCTGTGTCACGCTCCTTCAGCTTCCGTCCCAATTCAGCGGCTTCAATTTCGTTGAGCCCAAACGCTTGCAGGACATCTGCCAGGCACAACATTACACGTGCAGGGGGCGGGCGGAGGAGGAGGGAACGGAGGAGGAGGGAACGGAGAAGGAGGAGGAGGAGGAGGAGGAGGAGGAGGAGGAGAGGGAAGACGAGGAGGAGGAGGACGAGGATGACGATGAGGAGGAGGATGAGGAAGACGAGGATGCTGATGATGAGGCTGATGATGCTGATTATGGTGATGGTGTTGGTGACACTGATGCTGCTGCTGCTGCTGCTGATGATGATGATGATGATGAGGATGAGGATGATGGTACTGATGATGATGGTGATGCTGACGATGCTGATGCTGATGCTGCGGCTGATGATGCTGATGTCGCTGATGATGCTGCTGCTGATGCTGATGATGCTGCTGATGATGATGACGACGCTGATGCTGATACTGCTGATGTTGCTGATGATGCTGCTGATGATGATGCTGCTGCTGCGAATGCTGGTAATGGTGATGGTGATGGTGATGGTGATGGCGGTGATGCTGATGCTGATGATGCTCCTGATGCTGCTGATGATGCTGTTGCTGATGCTGATACTCATGCTGAGGATGCGGCTGCTGATGATGATGATGCTGATGATGATGATGATGATGATGGTAGTTGTGAGGACGTTGATGCTGTTGATGATGAGGATGCTGCTGATGATGGTGCTGCTGAGGATGCTGATGCTGCTGATGATGATGCTGATGCTGAGTATGATGAGGATGCTGATGTTGATGACGATGATGATGACGATTATGCTGATGGTGATGCTGCTGAGGCTGCTGCTGCTGATGATGCTGATGCTGATGCTGACGATGCTGATGCTGCTGCTGATGATGCTGATACGGCTGATGATGACGATGATGATGATGCTGATGCTGATGCCGATGATGCTGATGTTGATGCTGCTGATGATTGGTGATGCTGATGCTGATGCTGATGCTGCTGCTGATGATGATGATGTTGCCGACGACGACGATGCTGCTGGTGATGAGGATGATGATGCTGCTGATGATGATGCTGCTGTTGATACTGATTCTGATGATCGTGATGCAGACGCTGATGACGATGATGATGATGATGATGATGATGATGCTGATGATGATGATGTCGATGCTGATGATGCTGACGATGGTGCTTATGCTGATGCGGGTGATGCTGCTGAGGTTGATGATGACGAGGATGAGGATGATGATGATGATGCTGATGCTGATGATGATGCTGCTGATGGTGCTGCCGATGCAGATGATGATGCTGATGCTGATGCTGAGGATGATGATGATGCTTATGATGATGATGCTGATGATGATGGTGATGCTGATGCTGATGCTGATGACGAGGATGCTGCGGATGATGATGCTGCTGACGATGCTGATGATGATGAGGATGCTGCTGCTGCTGATGCTGATGCTGATGATGATGATGATGATGCTGATGATGATGAGGATGATGCTGGTGAGGCTGATGATGCTGATGATGCTGATGATGATGCTGATGCTGTTGATGATGCTGCTGATGATGATGATGATGATGATGATGATGATGATGATGATGATGATGATGATGTTGCTGCTGCTGATGATGATGCTGATGATGCTGCTGCTGCTGATGACGAGGAGGAGGAGGAGGAGGAGGAGGAGGAGGAGGAGGAGGAGGAGAGGAGGAGGGGAGGAGGAGGAGGAGGAGGAGGAGGAGGAGGAGGAGGAGGAGGAGGAGAGCCAGGAGGAGGAGGAGGAGGAGGAGGAGGAGTGTGAAGAGTGCACTCCCCTGCCCCTCCGCCGCCCGTGCCGCCTTGTACACATGATGCACATGCTTTTCATGTTTGTGGCGTGCACGCTGCCCGCCGCCGTTTTGGCCCTAGTCCTAGGGCCCTGGGACTGCACCCGCAGTTGGACTGCCGCGCGGTCCGGGCTAAAAGAACTGCACTGACATTGGTAGCGGAGCTCGTAAGCTCCAGCGGACGCACTGCGTGCTCTGCTTGGGTGGCTGCGACCACCCGCGCGCGCCGCCATGGCCGGCAGCCAGGACGGCGGCTCGGACGCGGAGGCGATGTCCTCCGCCGGCGCAGGTTCTCCGGACCTGCACGCGGTCCTGCGCGTGATGGCCGAGACCCAGAGGGATATCCTGGCCATGCAGCGGGATCGTGGCGACAGCGGTCCCAGGCGTGCACGCCTACTGCTGTCGCAGGTGAAGCTCCCGGACTTCGACGGTGCCGTCGGTACTAGCACCAAGAAGTACCGAGAGTGGCGCAAGGCGGTGGAGGTCATCCGCAACCTCAACCAGCTCTCCGACGTGGAGCTGGGCCTGATCATCTACAGTCAGGTGACAGGTCGGGCCAAGGAGCTCATCGAGGTACTGGACGCGTCGGACCTCCGGCGTGAGGACACGCTCGAGACCATCTTCGCTATCTACGACGACGCCTTCGAGAAGATGGACCACGAGCGCCTGGATCAGGTGCATCAGGAGTGGGGGCGTGCTCACCGTCGGGCAGGCCAGCCCATCATGGATTGGACAACGTACTTGCGCAAGAAGCGCATGGAGTTGCAGCTCGAGGATCCCACTTCAGCGATCAGTGATCGCGCGCTGGCGAGCAAGATGCTCCGTGGTGCTGGGCTGTCGCAAAGAGAGCGAGCGCAGGTGCTCTTCAATTGCGGCGGCATGTACGACTCGAAGCGGATGGAGGTCGTGCTGAAGGCAGCCTACTCGAAGGTGCACGACAACGAGAAGCGCTCGGTGCTCCCTCGCCGCTCGCCGTTTGTGGCGGCGCAGCGTGAGCACGGGCGCTCCTCTGGGAGCTCGGGCGGTCGCTACCCGCACCCTCCCTTGGCTCGTAGGCCGTGCGTGCTTCGAGGACGCTCTGGCCAGCATGTGCACGAGGTGGAGAACGGTGAAGACTACGATGAACACGACGGCGACCTGGAGGAGGCGCAGCACGACGAGGAGGAAGCAGACGACCAAGACGACGGAGACCCCGGAGGGGCCGAGGGCACCCTCTTCGAGGACGGCGCTGAGGTCGACGAGGAGCTGGCGTCGGACAACGATGGGCCTGACGACGAGGAGTGCGAGGCACCGGAGGATCTTCAGGAGGCGTTCTTGGCCGGCTGGAGGTCCAAGCAGAAGACGGCAGTACAGCGTCAGAAGCGCGGGTTCGTTGCCCCTCGGCAGCGGGACCCCAAGAAGATCAACGCCAGCGGCTCCTTCCAGGCTGGTCGCAAGCCGACGGACCAGCGCAAGGCTAACAGCCGGCGTGCTGATTGTGATCAGCCCGGCCACGTACTGGCGTGGCGACCCGGAGTGCCCCAAGGTGAAGAGTGGCGAGCGTGAGCCGTACAACAAGACCGGGCCTAAGAGTGGCCAGCCAGCGTCGCCCAACCAGCGGAGCTCTGCGAAGCCGCCGGTTCCAAGGCAGGTGCATGGGCCGGTCATCCATTGGGTTGGCATGGCAGGCAGTGCCGAAGAGCGTCGTGGCCGCGCCCCATGGCGCCGCGCTCCCCAGTCGGTGCCTGCCCAGAGGCATTCGGTAGAGGTCCGAGCCGATGCTCCAGGAAGGATCGTCATGAATCCTCGACCCAAGAGTATGCCTGCGCCAAGTCCACGCCGGGGCGCCGACGATGGCCCCAGGCCCGGACAGGGCAGTGATGAACGTGCGCGCGTCCGTGCAAGGCGCGGGGAGGATCAGGAGGACGAGGATGCATGCGTGCGTTGCCATCGCATCCTGGCCAACACCCACCCAAAGGGGCACGGCGTGGAGTTGGAGTTTCCTGACCTTGCCACGGTCCATCACATCGTGGAGCGTGCGACGAACAAGAAGCCCATCTTCTTCAAGCAAGGCC